AATAACAATTTTCATCAATATAATTTCTCATCAAATTAGCACTATAAGTACAGAGGTGCAAAACAGGAGCTCCCATTGAGTTTGTACACTATTGATTGTTAACAAAATTTTTTTTTGTAATTTTTTCATATGTTTGGAGGAAATTAGCAAAGGAAACGCTTGCAGATGTTCCGCTGCGCGGAGAATGTGGCGAGTGTGGAGATCAAGCGCGTGCAGTGGGGCGCGCCAGACGACAACATTTCCCTAAATCTAAAATAATTCATGGCTCACTAAGTATTGAAAATATGAAAAAATACCAAGATATCGAAATTTTTTTTTAAGTGAAGAATTTTTAGACATTGAAAAAAATTGAAATTTTTCCTTTTATTATTAAGAATCTACGTTAACAATGCCAAGAAAAATATGAAAAAATTCAAGATTCATTCATTTTCAAAAAATCAAATTCAAGCTACCGAGCTTGATCAAAAATTTTTCCAGTCAGATTATATATTGAAAAAACAGCAATTTTGTTTAGTTTATCAACAAATAATAAGTTAAATATGAAAGTTGAGTGAAAAGGTCAAAAGAGTGAAAATGGAGAGGAGAGGACGAGAAAAAATCACCGTTTGTTCTTATTCCAATAAGATAACTGGATCAAAAGTTATGTTATGGCAAATGTTGGTTGAAAAATGAAAAAAAAGAGAAAAATGGCGAATCCTGAAAAATCTAAAAATATTTTTAAAAAAATTGCCTCGCCTGGAGACATTCTGTGAAGGGTCGAGATGCATCCTAATTTTTTTCAGATTTTTCAATCAACTTTTTCATGAATTATTTCCATTTTGCAACTAAAATGGACTTTTCGGCGTTGGCGGCGAATCAGTTTTTTCGTAGTTCAACTTTGAGCGCTATTGGCGACTTGACGGTTGAAATTACGAAAATGCCGCTATTGACTTTTTTGTAGAAAATTTTATGCTCTACAAATTAAGTCCTATGCATTTTTATCCTATCTATCATGGTGTCGTCGGCGTAAAGCAAAAAAGGTCGCGTGGGCGCTTAATTTTGCAGTTTTTAATTTTTTTTAACAATTTCCCGGTTTGCTACAATCCCAAAAACTTAGTATGTGTTTCACATCATTCTTCCGCATGATATCCCATGGTTTTTATCCTTCTTCTATCATCCTTGATTTCCAAATCGTAATTTGACTGGCCTATAGTTTTATCATCATAAACTGAATGTAAATGAAGAGTGAAAATTATAACAAGAATGAGCTTCGAATGAGTGAAGATAAACATTCAATGTGATAGATGGGTGATGGAGAAGCTAGAAAAAATTGACAAAAATGGATAAAATCAAAGACAAAGAAGTAAACCGCATGACGAGTCGATTCCCCAGGTCGTGTTAAATGTGAAATCGCTGCGATAATAAGTAACTATTGGAAAAAAATTTCAAGAGTCCTTTCTCGATGAGAAATTATTAAGATAGTCTTCTCTGCCTCCATTTCATCGAAAAAAAAGTGTCACTCCACCACTGATATAGTATTCTATCTGAACAATTATCACCACAACAATCGATCTTAATCTCACTTTTCACGTAAACCGTCAAGACAAGGAACGAACGACAATTTTTTCCTCAACCGACTGTACGTATAAGGAATTAGAGAATATTATCGGTTTTGAGCAGCGTCTAACGTCAGGATATTCGCCTCTTTCAAGGCCGTTCTTCTCGTACAAGCAATATAGCACAACGTGCGGATTTGTCGATCTGTGCTGAGCACTTCGTGCGCCAACCGAGCGCCAATATAAATATGAAGATGAATAGAAATTAACTCAATTTTTTAATTAATGATTTCTATTGTTTTTTTCAAACAGGGATGGAAATAGAGAGAAAATAGCTTGATAATTTTTACTAATATGAAGGATTTCGTTTTCGAATATACATATTCTCTATATATTCTTCGTCAATTTAAATCAATTCATCCAGTCATTATCAATTCAATAATTGACTAATAAAATCATGAATAACGAAATATATTCAGACAGGAGATTTGTCTGAAATTTTTGTGTTTGAATGGAGTCAGCTGTTTGATACAGAGAATACGTCTGAAGAGTCAAATGTCTGAATCACTTCTAAAAAACTGAATTTCAGACGCAAAAACTATCTGGAAATAAATGTGTGAAATTTTTAAGACAAAAAAAATGTTTAAAGCGTTTCCAGATACAAATTGTATCTGAAATTTTCAAACATCTAGACCATTTTGAGACACTTGAGATGATGATTCAGATGTCTCTTCTCCGTCTGACATCTGAAATTCCGATGGGTGTCAAACACACTGTTTTTGCAACGTTTTACTCTCTCGTTTGACCCTTGTCATCGCTCCCCTGACCTTCGAAGCCTTAACGGCTCAAATCCGCGATATAATTGGATCCACGAGACAATTTCCCTACGTAATGCTTACCACTCATCTCTTTTATATACACGTTAGACATTACCTTCGATCCACCGCAAAATCTCCCTTGCATCTATGGTAAAAAATGGACCCACTGCACACCATTCACTCATCTTATATGCACGGTGAAAAAAATTACTTTATACCAGGGTTGGGCATGTAAATTACGTTGGTAAATTACACCGATTTTACCGACGTAATTTACGTAAATTACCTCGACGGGTTTTTTACATTTTTTACATTACAGAGAAAAGCTTGCAATTTTCGATTACTAGAATGTTTGATTTTATTTCGATTGATGAAGACGCAGTATTGGACACATAAATATAATAAAAAATAGTATATTATGTCCCGAGGACAGATAACGCGCGAATTGTAACTCCACTCAGTTCGGTTAGAACGTGGTTCTCGGTATTTGGGGCATAAAATATTATTTTATGTCCCTAGGACCGTAAAACCGCGATTCTAACATCGATTCCCTCAGTTAAATGGCGGTGTCCGGGTTTAGAGACATAAAATATTATATATCGCACGGCGATAAAACAATTTTCTTACCCATGTGATTAAAATCCTCGTCTTCGGCTCGAATTATAAAGCCACATTCGACAGAAAATACTCTCATCACTTGGTGACATAATGTATTATTACATCACGTGGTACGATTTACGGCATTTTAAGAAAGTCATAAACATGAGCCTCATACCTCATAAAGGCTAAATTTCACGAGGGTCAAACGTTGTAAAAAACCAAAGTCACAAGTCATCCCCATTGTGAGNCTCTCATCACTTGGTGACATAATGTATTATTACATCACGTGGTACGATTTACGGCATTTTAAGAAAGTCATAAACATGAGCCTCATACCTCATAAAGGCTAAATTTCACGAGGGTCAAATGTTGTAAAAGATCAAAGTCACAAGTCATCCCCATTGTGAGAAAGTGAATATCATTATCTATTGAGCTTTATTGGATTATCCACTTTATTATTTGGAGCTCCGGAAAAGCCCAGTTGGACCTGAAAAAAACCATTTTGTTCTGAAGAGTTCAAGAAAGCTACCAAAGACAATTGAAGTCGTTTTGTCATTTAATAATGCTGAATGAAACAATGGTTTCGAATCAACTAATTTTCGTCAAATGTCCACCCACCTTGACCTGAAATCTATTCCGTATCTTGTGCAACTCCAATGTAACATAACTGCCGTAATTAGAAATATGTTGGAAGTCATAAACGGCCAGAGCAGCCAGAAGTCCGACTATGTGGACATCAGTTCCATGGAAAGTCGATGTATGTATCGCTGGCTGATGATAGAAAGCAAGGACTGCGACCGATTGTAGTTGATAGTTTACATACGATTTTGTTTCTTTTTATTTATTTTGACCCTATTCGACTGTAATGGTTAGGTGGGTGAGGTGTTGCTCCGGCGGACATCCAAGCTAAGCAGCGTTGAGCTGGGTTAGTACTTGGATGGGTGACCGCCTAAGAACACCGCGCTCGCACAAAAAATTACGGGCGGTAGGCACCAAAGAGGATTGACTAACTTTGGCTAAGAGTAAGACGGCCATGATACCGCAGATAATAATCAGAGAAAAAAGTCAAGGAGGGAAGGCAGGCTAGAGGAGGGGTTTCAAATCGAGAACTACTTCGATAAAACCAATGAAATAGAAAAATAAAAAAAAAAAAAAATAAAAATATTTCGACCCTATTAGGGAACATATTCGGCATTCCATGCCAACTCGTGAGGTTCGAAACCGTATTTTGACTATCTAAATATCATATCCAAAGAATTTTTTGATTCCTCTAACCGGCCGTCCTTTATGAATTTTTGAAATGTAGTTTTTTTTTCATCTTCCAGTGGCGATTCCTGAGTTTTGGGTGAAGATATTCAAAAAAATCATAAGATCAATTTTCTTCTATTTTTCGGCGAAGATTCATAAGAAAATGTGATTCTTTGAAAAAATTGTTCTTCAACTATTTTAGGATACAAAAAGTTGATTTTCTCGCCTCAATTTTCAGGGATAATTCTTTGAAGTTTAACCAAATTTTTGACACCTCAGAAATAATGGTATCTCCACGTATGAAAAAATCCTATAGGATCTCCTATAGGATATCCTATACGGATTTTGATGTTCCCTAATTTTGTCTGGAAATGATGTAGAATTTTATAAAACGTGAAGAAATGATGTTTTTAGAAGATATCTGCATGTCCGAGTCTGATAGATCGCTTTTTGGGTCATCACTTTTTAGAAAATATAACATTAAAACGGGATAATTCATTGATATAGATGTGAAATTTTGGCCCATAGTAGGTACTATTAAGCTCAAATTCGGCGCACAATTTCAGCCTGATCGGTTCAGTAGTTCCTGAGATATTCAACTTTTTGTATAAAACTATTTTGGCCAATATCTCGAAAACTATTCGAGCCATTTCATTTTTTTAAAAATACTCGTTTCAATGTCTTCTATCTAGATCAATCAAGATATGTATACAGTGCACAGAGTCTACTAAAAAAATGCTTTAAAAAGTTTTTTCAATCGAAAATTCCGATGTCTCCGTGAATAAATCAGTCAACGCCATGATTTCAATATTTTATTCGTACGAATTTTTAAGCTACAAGAAGAAGTACACGTAAATTGTATTCAGTAACTTCCAAGTCGGGAAGGTATAAACATTCATACATATCGCATACACATACCTAAGTAAAAATACAATAATAGAAAACATTTGCTCATCTATCTAAAAATCAAATTTATCTACAATAATTTTTATTATCAATTTTTTTGCCTACTCCTTGGTTTGTATCGTCTTTCGCACCGTTTGGAAAATTTTCTTATTCAATATCACCCCTAAGAAATGTATATCAGATCGGTAAATAAATAAATACAGGAAAACTAAATCGAAATAAACGGATTTAACAGTTTCTCATGAATGACAAAAATCAATACTTCATAAGAACATTAACATATATATCTAGTAAACCCAACAGTTTTTTTTCTAAGTCTGTAAAATTATCTTGCACCAATGTCCCTAAAAATTGCTCACACTTTTGACCGTTCGTTTGTACTTGAAGAAAACCTCGCGCCAATATTTTGATCTATACGAGAATGTCATGAGTATTACGTGAATTATTTAAAAAATTCCCATTTTTTCTATTGACAGAACATAATACACGATCGCAATTCCCTTTTTGACAGCATTTTGAAAAGTCGTTGAGTGAAATTCCCACGACATTCTTCCAAAAAACAACAATGAAAATTAACTCAACCAATAACTGAATAACCCTCAAAAATTGCACGTGTCTACAGTTATGTTTAAATAAGTATAGCCTTGATTAAACTATTGCACCTGAATAAATTGGCTCGTTACATGTCGTTTTTTTGTTCATTTTACTAGTAGTTGATACGTCGGTAATGCATATTATAAGATCATTATCACTTAGTTGTCAAGAAGTCAGTGTTGTTTTATGCCACGAACGTTGACTGCGCTCCTCAGACTTTTGGTGTCGATAAATCGGCAGTTGCTCCTCGTCCTTTTGACTGAAATACATTAATACAGATGATTAGTGCGGTATTATAAGGCGTATTAATTCCGGTTGAGAAGGTTCGGCCCTGAATTATTTAGAGGAATGTGGGGCAAAGTGGAGGGGTAGCGAAAAACTATTTTAGAACAAAATTCAGATCACTTTTTCCCATCGCTATTACCAAAAACAAATGTGGCATTGGTTTCCTCACGATGTGAGGATCAATATATTCTTCCTAATAAATTAGCAATTTGCTTGCGAATGGAATTTCTACGCCGATGTATTTTAAATTGAATTTAGTGATTGATAGAATTCAACATTGCCTTAACGTTGGCAGCCAACATTGCCCCAATGTTGATGAGTATTAAAAATGCTATAGGATTTTCTATAAAATTTTCTATAGGGGAGGGTAGGGTAAAATGGACACTTTTGACTTTTTAAAAATTATTCATAACTCAGAAACAAATGTATCAATAGGGCTCAGTTTAGGCTCATCACAAAGGGAAAGAATTGTTCTTTGTATTGAAAAAAAAAAAACATTAAATTTCATCAACATTTCAACCCGTCACTAATATTTTTAAAAAAGTCAAAAGTGTCCATTTTACCCCAACCTCCCCTAGTATTTCATATCCGAGTTTCCATAGAATTTTCTATAGAATTTTTTACATGAATTTTTAATAAAATTTCTTGTGAAATTTTTTGCTGCTGGATTCTCCATAAGCTTTACTATGGGGTTTCCTGTTGGATTCCCTGTAGAAATCCCTCTAGGATTTACGAAAGGGATACGAGCTATACCAGTAAGAACAATCCATCAAGAAATCCGATTTGAAAAATTTGCTCATCCATGAGCGAAAATGCCTTGTTGCCGGATCTTTGACGATAGTTTTAATTTATTAATAAAATCATTGTAAAAAATTGACACTAAAAAATCGTCGGTTGAATAATTATAAGTGATAAATAAAAACGAATCGGATCATCAAAATTTCCATCCACTCTTGAATCTTTAATATTTTCATATATTTTTTTTTCGAACGCTACAGCGGAGTGTCGGCGCCATTGATGTTTACCAGTGTTACCAGATCGCGACGTCACCCCATTTAAAATTGTACAGCATTTGATTATAAATAGCCAGAATCTGGCAACCCTGCTGTTTACCCTCATTCTACACCCCAAAGTTACACTGAGGCAGTACCTTAATCACGAAACACCTCAATTTAACCCTCGACCAAATCCGTCGTACCTCTCCACCAAATGTATCTAGTCGCGTGATGAGCGCTGCGCCGTTCCGTGTATTTTACCATTTTGAGAAAAAAAAAGTTCAAAAAAATGATACATTTATGATTAAACGAGTAACTTTGAACTGCCAACTAACAACTAATATCAGTATAAAACGAGAAAAGTGAAAACATTACTCAAAAATTGACTTCCATTCGGTGCAAAAATTTGACATTCAAAGGGTTAAACACAGAGATTTTGACCGAGTCGAATTTTGACGGAATTTTAATTTTTGATCGGTGCAAAGATTCACAGAACAAAAATTGTTTAAATGTTTGACATGGTGGAAAGTAGGAATTTCAATTTTTTCCGATTTTTTCTCAAGAACGTTTCAGCGTAAACATAAAAATCGAGACAGAACGGCGCTCGTGCCATGACGCGACCGACAGAGGGTTAAATGTCGAAAATGAAGATGACACTCACCAGCAGCTGAAGAACGGTCTCCACAGCGTGGAATCACTAGACGTGACATGCGCCTCCTGCTTGGACAACGCACCAAGGTCATCCCCCCGATAGCTCCGTCTGTAATCCTGAGGCAACTCGACCGGAATCGACGCCTGGTTAATCTTCTTTCGGCTATCCCCACCCGCATGTTGATGAACTCCACTTCCTGTCCATTTAGCCCTGCAACCCAGACCCCCGGCCACGGGTGCTCCCGCCTCTCCCGCCTTCTCGTCGAGCACCTTCTGCAGATGATCCAACGAGATGACTAGAAGATCCGGGTCCCTGAGCAAATCCGGCCTCGATAGCGCCTCGGGCAGCCTCAACTCAGGATGCGATATCAATAACTGGGGTATTTCCGTCGCTGGATACGCCGCGAGTATCGGCAGCCGACATCTTGGCACAAGAAGCGGATCCGGAATGGCTTCCCCACACCTCTCCAGGAGATCCCTCAACTGCTTCGCAGGCCTCGCGATGGCGTCCTTCCTCTGCCAGTCCGTCGGCATAAGCTTGATCAGTCCCGGCGCTGCGCGCTTCTTCCGGGCATTGGGCCCCGACGCCGGCGTCGTCAGCGCGTCTTCGGAACACGTGACCAAACATGGCGGACTCGGCAAGAGCCGCGCTGAAGGGGCTTCCGCCTTGATGCTGTTCAATGTTTTCTCGACTTTCGCCGAACTCTTCCAGATGATGGGCTTCAGAGGCGGTATCTCCGGCCTCTCGACCTTGTGCGGAACAAAAACATCAGGTGGAACGAAGGCTTCAGTCTCCTCGATGATTTTGCCCTCAATCTCGTCACCCGAATGATCATCCTCGTCCTCGTCCTCGTACTGAAAGATCTCGATGCTCTCGTCAATCAAAGCATCCTTGCCATCACTCTTGTCCTCGATCTCCTCGATGAGCTCATCCTCACTGCAATCGAACTCCTCGTGCTTAAACCCATCGACACTAATTTGATTATCAACAGTATTATTTACATCATCATCTTCCACAACCATTTCAATATCGTCATCGAGATTGCACTTGGTGAAGCGATTGACTGAGTACAGTCTCGCGGGGCTGAGGGGCTCCAGGAGGACCCTCGGCTGGAACAGCTGGCTCTTCTGGACCTTCTTCAGGTCCACGAACTGCAGTCCCTTGTTGAAGATTTTGGCATTGTCCCTAGTGTTGTCATCGCCATCGGTGTCAAAGCGGTACTCGTCGCAGCTGTCAACGTCCTTCTTCTCGATCTTCGGCCGGTCCCTCAAGCACTGGGTCTTGATGTTATCGTCGCAACACTCCGAAGTCATGGACGAGTGGCTGTTGGAGCCACTCGAGTAAGACGACAGCGAGCACGACGACGGGGAGAAGGGCACCGATGAGCCCGAGCAAGTCGACAAGGACGACGATGTACTTGCATTGGTCACTGATAAATTGTAGTTCGAGTCGACTCGACACGACATCGAGCTGTAGACATTGGACAATGTCCTAGGAATGGATCTCCACCCCTGCGCAGTCTTAGTTAATTTGATTCTATTCCTCTTGTCGTAGTCCTCACACCTGACCTCGATGATCCTCTGCTCCCGCTGGAGTGCCCAGAGGAAAATCGGATTGACCTTCGGTCGCTTCTCGACGTCCGATGACTCCTCATGTTCCATATGCTGCTTCTGCGGGCACTCTTCGCTCGAGTAATCAGAACATTTCGTCTGGTACGACTGACCATGACAGTAATGATGGCTCTTCCACGAGCGTCTGCGCGACGGCCTCGTCAGGTGGTGTCGGTGATGCCTGTGGTGGTGATGGTGATGATGGTGATGATGATGATGATGGTGGTGATGACGATTTTGGCGTCGGCGACGGGGCTGCTGGCCCCTGGTGGGGGCAGTGCTCATCACTCCATCCAATTGGGGCTTCCCACCGGCTCGAGGCTCATCGACCCCAATAACAAAATTATCCTCTTTACTGCGGCTGCTGGACACTTACGGTCTTCGATCTCATCCCACATCCATCGCGATTTCGATGATGATTTTTTTTTTCAACGGGTGTGGCGATGTGGGGAATAGACACTAGACTTCAATGAGGCGTCGTAGTCGCGTTAACTGTGCACTCGCATCGATTCCTCCACGGATAGTCTCGCATGATAAATATTCAAGTCTGAGTGAGGGGTCTTCACTCTAATTATTTCAGTAACTCTTTATGAAAGACTAATGACGGTCGCACAAGCACGAGGCACTCACGTCTGCTGAAGGGTCAACGAAAACATTTCCACTCGTGACGGTGGGGATGATGATGCGTAGAATTTTTCGATGAAAATTCACCTCAAATTCACGGTGAAAAATATTGAAGACCGTTCGCGGAGAAAAGAGTGGGACTGAGTGGAGGAGACAGGAAGGAGAAACTACTGATTTGTTCGAGTATGTCGGGTCCGCTCGGTGTCCACGGTTTCTACTTGCTTTACTACCATTATTCTCCCTCCCGCCCGCCCCCATCCCCTGGCCTCTCGTCGTAACGTCGACGTTGAACTCTAGTTAAAGCGAGACGGCACATAGTAAATGGGTATATATATAGGTGCATACGTGTAGAGGAATCGTTATTGAAACGTGAGCGTGCGCGGTGACGACTGTGGTCAGTGCGCACGGCCGCGCGCTACGAAAATTTCCTCGAGTGTGTTGGAAAAAAAATATTTATTAGCATTTCGATGAATGAGATGGTGATGGGTTCAATGAATATTCCAGGCCTCATTGGTTTCAGATGTAAATATTTTTTTATGATGGTTAATGCCGGGCTTTGGGCTACTGTGTGGTGAGACGCGAAGCAGTTGTATTTTTTTTTTGCTGGGAAAAAATCCCGGGTCTGGGAAACATTTTGCGGGAGAGAGAAAAATAATGCTGTTAACGTTAGAAATTATGTTGAAGTGGCGCTTTTAGGAGGGACATACGACCATTCGGGTTTAAATATGGACATCAATTGGGCGAAAGTTGATTGTTTTCGATGAGGAGTGGAAGAAAAAAAAACATTTTCGGCACGCTGTGCAAAAAAGTAAGTTTTTGGGCACGCTTAGTGTGTCTAAAATGTCCCTTTTCCACACATTGAGATGAAATAGTACATTACATGCCCAAGCCTTGGAAAACAGATCTCCGTCTCCCGCGTGCAAGATTGCCTTCCGAGCCGAAGGCAATAATAATAATAATAATAATAATAATAATAAAATGTAATAATTATAAAACTGAAAAATCAATTATTTAAAATAATAATAATTCTTTTCAGTAAAATATAATGATAGTTTTTTTTTCTTTTTTCTTCGGCTCGGAAGGCAATCTTGCACGTGGGGGAGGGTGATGTTTTCCATGGCTAGGTGTGTATATTAATTTT